GGGCAAGTGGTGAGTTAGCTACCCTGACATCGAAATGGGCCTGGTCAATGTATCATAATGCTTATATATAAGTTAAGAGCATGGACATGGACAAATTCTGTCATAAATCAAAAAGTAATAACTAGAATTGAACCCTGCTGGGATTAGGATTGATTGATCCGTCCTGAGCACTGTAGTCTGAGTTTGTGGTGAGTAGTCCCCAGGAGTGTCACCTCACAAGCCTAAAAGTATCTAATACTGTGTCAATACAGAATGGTAAATATTATGAAGCAAAACTGTCACTGTCACTGTCACTATCCTCCCACTGTTGATTGATTTTCTCGAGCGGGCCCAGTATTGTCTCCATTTTGAGACTTGTTCTTACTGTGTTTTGTATATTGAATATGTCACGGGTAGCTTGCCAGGCCTTGCGCAAGGCAAACGCCCAACTGCTGTGCTAAGTATGTTAAGTTATTTACTAGTCTAAGGAGAGGAGAAACACACCTTAAGGTTTGCTTTGCTCCCGTGGGCTGCAGGTGATGGGGAAGTCTGTAAAAACATTTTTCATTACGCTTCCCGTGGGGAGGCGCGGTTGGGGAGGCATGGTGAGAGGAGAAAAAAGAGCAGCTTCAGGGAGACAGAGGGATTGAAGGAGACTGAGAGAAGAAGAGACACAGAGATAGAGATGGTTGCAACTTAGAGAGAAGGACGAGAGCTGAGAGTAAGAGTGGCTGGGGAGATTAGAGAGGAGTCACAGAGAGCATCGTAGGGAGAGTTAGAGAGATGGTTGGATAGAGCTGGGAGAGTCAAGGGATTTAATAAACTGCAAATACTCAGCAACCAGCTTAGACCTCATTCTTCTTTCGCCAGTCCAAAGCAACAGCTGTCCGGGGTGATAAGTGGCTTGAGAACACCAAATGCGGACAGGTAGAGAGAGCCGCTGAGAGTCCGGGAACATCTGTTAACATGGCAATCTGGTTAACCCCCACTTCCCATAGGTTCCCCAAGCCCCCCTGAAGTGATTACTGAGTGCAGAGTCAGGAGTAAGCCCAGTGTACTTTTGGCTGTGACCCGAAAACAAAAACACACAACAAGTGAATTGTGGGGGGCTGGAGCGATAGCACAGAGGGTAGGGCTTTTACCTTGCACGCCACTAGCCCACATTTGATTCCTAGCACCCCATATGGTTCCCCAAACACTGACAGGAGTAATTCCTGAATGCATGAGCCAGGAGTAACCCCTGTGCATCACCAGGTATGACCCCCCCAAAAAAATAAAATTGTGTAGTTAATCAGGAAAAAGGACCACGACTTTCTCAAATTAGCATAAAAGCATTTTTATGATCACCACAGAGATAGCACAGACCATGAGTTGCTTGTCTGGCACATTGCTGACCAGGGTTCAATCCCTATCACCTCACAGGTTTCCCAAACCTAGCATTATCAATGAGAAAAGAGCCGGGGAAAACTCTAATCTTCATCGGGTGTGGCCAACCAAAAATAAATCCACAAATGTAGGTGCCACAACTATAGTCTGGTAGGTTACTGGCCTTGTACACGGCTGACTTGTATACCCTGGCACCACACAACACTAGGTAGATTTTGGTACCTTTTGGCAGAGACCACAGGGTATGACATTAAATATATAAATATATGTGTGTGTTTTGTGTGTATAAATATATATATGTATATATATATATATATATTTTGTTCACAAGTCAATCTCATCCACCAGCCAGTTTTGTAGAATGCAGGTTTGGGTTTTGGGGCTACAGGTGGCAGAACTTTGGGCTTACCTGAGTGGTGCTTGGAGAATCCTGTGTTGAATAGTAGACTCTACCGTGGACGACTGCTTGCAAGGACAGGTCCTGCACTCCTGGACTATCTCTGATCACAGGAATTCAAATTCTATACAAATAATGCGAACCTTGTGAGAAGGATACAGACAGGGGAAGGGATCAGGCCCAGCTGGTAGAGGTCAGGGCAGGGCTGCTGGCACCTGGGGCCTCCCAGTGCAAACTTGAGCCAGAAGTACAGGCTGCAATTTCAAAGGTTTGCAGGGGCCTTAAAGAGCTGACAGTGAGTGGCAGGGCACTTCTCATGAATTCAGAAGACTCAACGTCACATCCTGAATTGTCCCGGAGCACTGCTGGGTTTGGCAAAAGCCCGCATATCCAATCCTCCTTCTGCCCAAATAAAGGCAATGAGAAGTTATCTGCCAACAGCAGCAGTGTGAAATCTGTAATATGTTCTCAAGGGTCAGTCCACTGGGTTTGTTATTTTGTTTTGGGACCACATCCAGAAGTGCTCAGAGTTCACAGGCCACGTTTTCAGACTATGATTTTACTCCTGCGGGTAAGTGATTTTATAAAAGAAAAAGAGGATGAAGAATTACACTTGGAGCGAGAGTGATAGTACAGCAGGAAGGGTATTTGTTCGGTCCCCGGAATCCCATCCAGTTCCCCAAGCACCGCCAGGAGTGATTCCTGAGTGCCAAGCCAGAATTAACACCTGAACATCACCACTGTGTCCCAAAAAAGATAAAAGAAAAAAAAGAAAAATTACACTTATTCCAAATGAGATTTTAAAGTCCATAATGTTGCTCAGAGCCTCCAACTCCTTCCTTTCCTCCTAATAGCCACTTGTTTAAAGGACTCAAGAATGTTCGCATCTAAGAACTTTCAATGAAGTTATGAACACAGGGGCAGGGAAGAGCACACCAGACGGAAGCAGATACTGGCCAACTGGAAGCCCAGAGGGCCTTCCCTGGTACCCAGTATCCACTCGTCCCCTGAGCACAGAGCAGGGAACAGACCTCAATCACTGCCAGGTGTGGCCCCAAATCTCAACTCATCTGCTCCCCAAGTAGTGAAATACACCTAAGGAGAGGAGCTCAGATGACTGAGCACCTGATCTAAATTTGGGGGACATATCATGGCTCCCCCTACATCTCAGATACACAGACACAGAGGGGGAGAGTTGTCTCTGACTATCCCCATGTTTGTAGCAAATGGAACGGGGCAGACAGGAGATATACTCCAACACCAAAAAGTTGTTCAAAGGATGCTCATGCGTCAAGACAAATTCTGGAGTGGGAGAGTTGGAGTCATACCTAGTGATGCTCAAGGGACCCTATGGTATGGCAGGGATAACTCTGGTCATGGCAAGAAAGACAAACACCTTCCTGACTATACTACTGCACCAGCCCCCTAAAAGTAAGACGTTTAGAATCTATTGCATTTGGTCCCTGGAAAACCCCTTTTTGCAAGTACTCACTCAACAGCAGGACACTCCTCTAGTCTGGGAGTGATGGACAGTGGGGGATGATTGGAATCTTGACAGTTGAGGCAGAAATTGTTTTTTTCTGAGGAAATATAATCATATAGGGTTAAGTAAGTAAGTAAAGTAAAGGCCCTCCCGTTGATCGTCGATTTGCTCGAGCGGGCCCAGTAACGTCTCCATTGGAGACTTTGTTGTTACTGTGTCTGGCATATCAAATACTCTCGGTAGCTTGCCAGGCTCTCTGAGAGGGGCGGAGGAATCGAATTCGGGTCGACCATGTTGGCCGCTTGTAAGGCGAACGCCTTACCTCTGTGCTATCGCTCCAGCCCATCATATAGGGTTAGCAAAGATAATAAGTTGCTGGGGTGCTTTTCTATCAAGCAGCTAAGCCAGGGTCAATATGCAATAGTACATAGACTCACCCACTCCAGCACTGCTAAAAATGATACCTGATCTTAGAACAAGGTGTAAGCCCTGAGCACTGAGTGGTGCTGTAGCCTCAAAAAGTACAATAAATTAAATAATAAAGAAATTTCTGTGAAAAGAGATTGGAGAGATAGTAGAGCAAGTGATATGCTTGTATTGCACACGGCCAAACCAGGTTTGAATCCTGGCATCCCATATGGTGCCCTGAGCTCATCCAGGAGTGCTCCATGAGTACTGAGGCAGGAGGAGTAAATGAGTCTTGCAGTTGTACTCCTACAGACTAAATAATTAATTCATTTAAATCAATCAAGGTTTGGTGGCCAGTAGTGATCCTAAATTGCATTATTAGAGGGTTTAGGGCACACTCTGAAGTGCCCAAGCTAATTCCTGCTAAGATTTCATATTTGGTTGCAAGACCCACGGTGGCATAGCACAATCCTTATACACCCCTCTGGACCTACGCCCCAACACTGAGTTGTCTTAAAGCTCTACACCTTGGGGACTGAGTGATAGCATAGACAAATATGCATTTGTTTTGACGGTGGCCGACCTGGGTTTAATTCTGGGTATCCCTGACACCACTAGGAGTGCTTACTGAATGTAGAGACAGGAGTAACCAACCAGCATCGCTGGGTGTGACCCAAAAAGAAAAATAAAAAAAAAATAAAAAGAAGTAAAGAGACGCTCCCCACCTCCCTGTACTCCCAGGACCCACTGAATGTACAAGGAACAAGTGAAAATCAAAGGCTCTGCCAAATGCTTTTGAGCCCTAAGCATATAAAGAATATGCCCAGCCCCATCCACCTGCCCAACTCCCAGAAGGAATGAAAGGACAGAGGGGAGGGTGTTTTTTCCTTCATGCTGCTGACCCTGATATGGGATACTTGAACAACCTCAGGAGTGATCCCTGAACACTACCAGGTGGGACTCAAAAACCCCCAAGAGGAAAATGAATGCCCCGCAGGTCCCTTTGATGAGGGAAACCCACACTTTAGCCCTACTCCACAATCAGCCTAATGAATGAAAGGGGGCTAGTAATGGGATGTCCTGCAGACATTGCTTAGATAATCCACCAACCCCTTTGACTGACCAGGTGCTAGGAGACGCCCCGAAACTAAGTTAACACTGAGGTGCCCTCATGCGTCCCATCTGATCTGGGGGGGTAGACTGACGCTCCCTCTAGCTCTGACACTTTCTGCTTTGTAAGGGGCCCAAGCAATGGTTCAGCAGGGAGGGTGCTTGCCTCGCATCTTGGCACCCCAAAGGGTTCTCGGATCCCCAGGGAGGGACTCCTGAGCACCACCAGGTAAAGGCCTAAAACACATCACGATCACAATCATCCTGTTGTTCATCAATGGTATCGATTTCCCCAGCTTCCCCTGGATGCCCCCTCATCCGCTTCTCACCTTCTGCAGCCCACTGGCACTTCCACCCAGAATGCCAAATCTCCTCTGATAAAGAACCCGGATTATGTTACATCACCTGCACGGTTGCCCAGAGACTTAAAGGGCCAGGCTTCAAATATTACTGGTCAGAAAGTCATTTTTCCTCGTTTCTGGGATAGGATCAGGTGACCCAGACATCTGGGGGTCGCCAGGTCGGAATAGATTGAGAGTGATGACTAAACAGATAACATGTCAAGTAGAGAATCTTTGTATTTACGAAGGAAGGAACATTCACAAAAATACTTTGCAAACAGCCACCAGGACCATCTCTCTGAGTCCCGACGTTCATTTATATATTCATGTACAACTCTCAGCCACATGCTAGGACCAGGCCCCCAGGATTCCTCCTGGCAGCTGCCAATGAAAAAGATGGGCTTCAATAGGGTCCCTCTCCACTGGGGGCTGAGGAGCTGCCCCTCAAAGTGATCTGGAAATTTTACATACACATGTCTACACTGAAAGCTGCAAGACAGGGCCCGGCACAACCCCTGCTTGAGAAGGTTGGGATGGTCAAGAGTTCTGCCATCAGCAGTTCCAGGGTCCTCAATTCCCAGAGCCCCTAATTCGCAGCTCCGCACCCAGGACACGCTACCCCATCGCAGAGCTGGAGACAAAGGTGCCCCCAATAAAACGCACAGACACCCGAGACCCCTGTACCTTGCTAAATCCCCCCAATCCAACTAGCAAAGCTATACATCCTTCTAAAGCCTCTGGAGTAAGTCAGACCCAGGAACCCACTGGATATGGATGGGGGGAGTGAAAAACAACCACAAATGTGCCCCCAAATCTGGTGCGATCCCGTCAGTCACAGTACTGGCACTGAACGTGAGAGGTCCTCGTGTCCTGCCACTGATTGGCCTTCAGTGTCCCCTTTTGACTGAAGTGTCACTTTGTCCTTTAAACGCGTGCCCGTAGGAGGCCTGATACACTTGACATCATTAGGAAGTAAAGGTGCACATGGAAGACTCCCGTCTGTGACATCATCCATTTCACCAAGGAGCCTTGAATTGCCAGGTTCCAAGTGCAGAAAGACCATTATGCAAGTGCAGGTGAATCGGTGCAAGGGAGATGAGCTCGGATAAAGAAGAGGAGAGGCAAGTGCTGGAAGGGCTGGTCACAGAGGTCAGGGCAGCGAGTTAAGGCGGAGTCCTTTGATCCTGTACTTGTCAAACATGGAACCCAGGCTCTCACACACACGTCCATCATAAAAAAGCAGGTTGATTCCAAGTAAAACAGACAAGTAGGTTGTGAATGGCTCATGGGACAATGAGTTTCGCTGGAAAGTCATTAATCAAGATTGTGCAGTGACTCTGAAGCCAGCCTTGAAGATGCAGAGGAACTGGCCAGCAGCAACAAGGAGAGCTGGAGAGACACTGGATAGGAACAAAGGCTGGGAAGAACATCAGAGAGCACTGTACCGTGAACACTCTACCCCTTGAAAACACAAGAGCAGAGAACTCTAACCTACAAGGAAACCCCAGGATGCAGCTTTAGAAACACGTTTTCAACCAAGAGTAAGGGGAAAGAGTATAATACTGTGGCTTAATGCTTGTGTTAAACATGGTTTTCCTGAGGTCTATTCTTGGTATCCAAAATAATACAAACTCCTAAGAACTGCCAAGTATAGCATGAATTACATAAAACATACTTCAATAAATAAATCCCATGTATGAACCAACCCTATGAACGGAGGCACATAGGAGTTAAGGGGCACCAAAGTGTACCAGATCATTTTGTAGACTTGGTCTTTTTTATGTAGGAGTACTGCTATTTATTCAGCCACTGATTAGCTGATTGAATTGGGCATGAACTCAACCTTACTTTTTTTCCATAAAGTAAAGTAAAGTAAAGGCCCTCCCGTTGATCGTCAATTTGCTCGAGCGGGCCCAGTAACATCTCCATTGGAGACTTTGTTGTTACTGTGTCTGGCATATCGAATACTCTCGGTAGCTTGCCGGGCTCTCCGAGAGGGGCGGAGGAATCGAACTCGGGTCGGCCATGTTGGCCGCTTGTTAGGCGAACGCCCTACCCGCTGTGCTATCGCTCCAGCCAGTTTTATTTATTAACCCCAATATACCCCCATTCCACCCCACCCAATGCCTGTGAGGCAGATGATTTCTACTTATGTCTTCTCTACATTGGTTACATTCATCATTTCGACAAAAGATGTACCATTATTTTTTAGAACTCCCCCCCACAATCGGAATTGCTGAAAAGGCATTGTGAAATACTTTGTTTTCTATAGTTGGTTATGAGAATCATATGTTGCGTGGCCGCTATTGCGGCCCCGCAATTTTGGATTTCTGCAAAGAGCCAGATAATTTAGAGATTGTTTTTTTTTTTTTGTGTGTCTTGTGTTATGGCTGTGCCGGAGAACTGTTCTTGGGAGGCAACTCAGGACCTGGTAGGGCGTGGAGGACGAGCCGGTACCACCCCTCTTCCCATAAGACTGCAGTTGCCTTGTCACTGCTGGCTCATATCTGGCTTTCCTCTCAGCTTTGAGGCAGTGGCCACCTTGCTGCCGGGGGTGGGGAGGCAGAAGGGAGAAACACCCTTTCCCTCCCGGGGAGATATGAAAATGTAGTTTAATGCATGGTCCATTTACTTTTCTGCCGCAAGCTGCCGGCCTCTGGACTAAGTCCATTTGCCTCTGGAGCCATGTCTGTGCCAGAGAGCCGCTCGTGGGGCGCAACTTGTGACCTCAGTAGGGCATGAAGGACGAGCCAGTACCGACCCCATTCCCATGAGACTACAGTTGCCCCGTCACTGCCGGCTCATACCTGGCTTTCTAATAAAATCTGAGGCGGCAGCCATCTTGCTGCCGGTGGGGAGAAAGGTGGAAGGGAGCAACACCCTTTCCCTCCCGCGGAGGCATGATTCTGTAGTTTGATGCATGGTCGATTCACTTTTCTACCACAAGATGTTGGGCTCTGGATTAAGTCCTTTTGACTTGGAGCCATGGCCGTGTATGCAGTCCAGATGCATTTCTGCCAAAAGCCGCTGGGTTTTGAGATTTGTTTCTGAGTCTCTGGGATCGTGGCCATTAGTCAGCTTGATCTGGAGCCAGAGAGGCCGCTTATAGGCGGCAACTTGAGGTCTCACTGGGATGGGGAGGAAAGGGCTGGTTCCACCCCCATCTGGTGAGGCCCTGCGTGTCTCGTCACTGCAGGCCCAAACCTGACTGTCTTGTGGCCTCTGGAGGATGATGGTCACCAGGCTGCCAAGGCACGAAACCTATTCCCACCTGGAGTGGCCCAGCCCCAGTAACCTACTGCAGGAACAGGACGCATTTTTGCCAAAAGCTTTTAGGTTCTGAGATTCGTTTCTGAGCCTCTGGGATCATGGCTGTTAAGTAGTTCGATCAGGAACCAGAGAGGCCATGCCTCCAGTTATATAGCTGACCCGGAGGTGGTTTGTGGGTATGTCTCCCACATACCTAACTTTTGGCTGTTTACTTTCTTGATAAAATTTGCCCCAAGTTTTTGGGGTCTGGCCAAAGGCACAGCAGCATTTTGGGTATCTGAAGGCCTGACAGTGCCATCAGGCTGTTGATGCACTTGCCTCACAGGTACAGATTGACCACTGGCGGCACCATACCCCCAGACTTGGTCTTTTGGAAAGACCAAAAACGGTTTTAATCATTCTGGTGGCTAGTAAGTTTGAGATTATACCACCTGCAAATGCATCGGTTTGTCGTCTTTTCTCCTAATATAACTGAAATGAGGAGAGTGGAATCTAGTAATGTGACAACCTTCGTAGTTAGTCATCACAGCTGATGTTATTGCCTGCTGAGATGGGAGTTTGACTATTCTGCCAAGTTCCCACCATTTGTAAAATATTTTGATCAAGGGGCCCGTTCCATCCGTTCATAAAACCATCAGAAATCTTTCTGTGCACAGTCAAGTCCATTTCAACTATATCTAATCCACCCTATTAAAGAACAATGACAGGGCTATTATCTTAAACTTTTCAGAAATATTTATTCTTAATGCTTAGGGAAATCTAATAAAAATCTGAATCCTAGGAGTGCAGAGCTGATACAGCGGGAAGGTGTTTGATTGCATAAGACTGATCTGGATTCAAAGTCCAGATCCCCTTAAGGACACCTATGTTCTCTCTCGCAGGTATGGAAGAGCTCAGAGCCAAGAGTACGGGCTGAGAAAAGCAGGCGTGGCTCCTAAAAATATAACAGAGGAAGGGCTGAAGTGTGGAGGTTTGCATCTTTTTCCATTCCAAAGGATTCACTGCAATGTCCTGCTTGATGTCTACTATAAACCTTGAAAACCAGGGCCTCTGTTCAAACCAGAGTCCAAGCAAAAATTAGACACCGGGCTGGAGTGATAGCACAGCAGGTAGGGCAACCGCATTGCAGCTTGAGTTTGAGTTTGAGTTTTGGTCATACAATGATCGAACACCCATCCTCCATTTTTCACCATCAATGTCTCCCCCCTACCTCTATGGCAGACAATCTCCCCCATACTCTCTATTTATGGGCATTATAGTTTGCAATACAGATACTGAGGGGCTATCACCTTTGGCCCTTTATCTATTTTCGGCACACATGTCCCATCCCAGCAATCCTTCTAACTCTCATTGAATTAATGATTTCTTCTCTATTCCAGCTGCCTTCTCCCCAGCTCATGAGGCAGGCTACCAACCATGGAGTAATATTTCTGGGCCTTGTGTGTACTGCCCTTGGGTGTCGGTCTCATGTTTTTATTCCACAATGAGTGCAGTCAATGTCTGTTCCGCTCTTTCTGACTCATTTCACTTAGCATGATAACAAACAATATTTCTTTCATTCTCTTTTTTGTCATTTTTTTTCCTTTTTGGGTCACACCCAGGAATGCACAAAGAAAAAGATCACAAATAAACACAGAGGAATGGGAACACTGTGATAGGAGTAGCCTGACAAACCAAAAAACTCTGTCACATTCCCACCTCAAGGGACTCAGGTCCGGCAGCTGAAAACCTCCAGAACTCAACCACCACCCTGCTCACTGTCA